GTATTTCTCGCGAGGGCGTGTAATCATGGTCATGTTGCACAAGAAGACATGATTCATGCGGAGTGTCCTGCGCTTCCTCCACGGATCCGTTAGGTCTTGGTGCATGGAGGTCAGGCGTCGGAAAATGCGCGGGTCGCTTTGCAGCTGGAGTTGAAAGTCCAGGTGATGAATGTTCTGGCAAAAGTGGAGAAATGAAATCATAAATGAATAAATGAATGAGAAACGGAACACGGACCATATCCTTAATTAGTTAAAAACTTCAAAATATTTTTAAAGATTATATGTTATGTTTCAAATAGCATAACATCAAATGATTTAATGTTTGGGGGTTTAAAAATTCAGAATTTTGATGCAACCCCCCCCCCCCCTTCAAAAAAAGGCTCTTGCTCTCTCACTCGCCAGCACGCAGTATTCCCGATAGAGGGGCTGTAAACATGTAAGCCTCATGCTAGATATTTGTGGTACATGAGCATTCTTTTCTTTTTCTTCTTAACTTTCATATAAATTTGTTATATTAATACCTTCACAAATTCGTTGCAGGTACAAAAATGTAAAATAGAAGGACAGGTTTCGTAATTGCATAAGAATTTTCTGATTCGGTAACCCAATATAAAAAGTAATTCCCTGTTTCCTATGCAGAAGTACGTGAAATATCGGCTCGCTCGATGCGCTCGCTAGCACTATTAGGCTTTTTGGACAGGGTGAGTTCTCGGTTTGTGTTTATAAATCTTTATTCATAAGGCAATGCACCCGCCTCCTCATAATATAAAAAATATCCGATTTGAATTTATAAACCAACTTAAAGAATGCCTTATCTTTTACTCAGAAATATACAAATTTTATGCTCTCTCGTTGCACTCGCTCGCAATGATTTCAGACCCCTATAGTCTGTTCAGTATTCGGTTTGTCTGTATATGTCGTTATTTTAAAGACCAACCGCCCAATCATAAAACTTTGACAATGGGGATACACTTTGATTATTCAGGAAATAAATTTGAAGTATTCTATATACTGCGTAGGGTATGTTCATTTTTTTTTCAGTGTCCCTACCGTGGGAACGGGACACCTCTTCCCTCCATTTCCATCCTCCCCCACCCCCCCCCCCTCCCACTCAGCCGCTTCAATCGCTCCCTCGCCCCGATATTGACCATGGGCAAATCATGAACACGGATCAATGAACATGGATTAATAAGATATCGAGTAGAATATTAAATAATTTTAGATTAATTTTTCTGAAATTGTCTCACAATAACACTGCACTTCAACATTATTCTTTCCGACACTGTTTCGTATGATCATCATAGCCCTAGCCAACTCAATTTATCCCCCCCCCCCCAAACAAAAACAAAAACAAACACAAAAAATCATAATTGAGGCGTGATGCTCGTTGCCCATCACCTGTGCACCATTTCCTTAGAACAATTAAAATCCTAAAATTTTTCCAGCATAAGAAATTTAGGTAAATATATTAAAGTAGGCCTACATGATTTGGACCCTGTTTGAAATTATTATCTTTGTTTGGTTGTTTGTCAGAATAAAAACTAAGCATGGGTTTGGAAGAGTGGTGTACTGATGAAAGGGTCCAATTAAATTTAGCTGTATATAGTGCCATACTAGAATTCATGGGGGAGGGGTGGTCGAGAGCAAAATAGACATTAATAATCGGATCATGTTTTGAGGAGATGCCGGATTTGGGCAGATCTGGATTCCTACCATATTCCTCCGACTCTTCATGTACTCGTTGAGGACTTTGTCCAGGGGATCCGGCTTGATGCAGCGTCCGTCGGGCGGTCCTTTTCCTACTCTGTACTGGCCTTGTTTGACTGACGAGGAACCTGTAGCACCGTCTACAAATAAAAACATTCAGTTCATAAAACGAAGGTGGCTTCCTAAAAATAGCCGTGAATGTTCTTGGCGAGGTGGTTGTTTTGACTTGATGACGATAAAAGCCTTTGTTTTTTGGTGTAAAATTTTGTTTACAATTGATGCAAGAAGAAATAGTTCCCTCCATTTTAGCCTGCAGCAGACGACAAGCTTTCCGTAACACATTGAACGCACACGTGCTCGCACTTCCGGTTGCGCATGCGCAATACGTATGTTTCGTGAAGCTACTATTTTGGAATTTTAGTGCGATCACCAAGGACCAAGTTTTAGGTTAATTTGTTGCATTAAATCAGTAAAACCTCACTATCAGATATCAAGAAAGATGACAATGGATGCGCACAGCAACGTGGCATAGCCAAATGTGAGTATAGTTCCAAAATAATTAATTGCGTTAATTTAAAATGTTTTTTTTTAAATGTAGAAATTCTAGAATTGGCCGTTCACTGTACTGGCGGTATGGGAGGAGGTCAGACGCCGTGCTACGCACGGCGTCTGGTCAGGCTACACACCACCAGAACTCTGAAAACGTCACGTAGCGCTAGCTAACTCTCTATACTAGTTGATCTTCCTAGTCGTATCATTTATTTTTATCCATTATTACGCAATACTCTAAGAGCGTGAGGATGCGTGATCAGCTCGCAAAATTTAGCCCAGCGATAACAAAACAATAATATATCGGGAAAACCGTCTTGAACAAGAAGACCCTCGCATCCCCAATTGAAATTGTACATAAGCTTTGGCTTCGCTATTCTTGACGTCGATATAAACAAACTTAGACTTCGGATACAGCATGTTTCGTGTAATTTCTTGCCGAAAAGCCTAGGGCAGGGTGTAAAACGGAAACACGTAAGCGGGGCTAAGCAACAGCCAATGACAGACAGCGTGGTCGTGTGGTCGTGAATTTGCATTTATCGCGCGCTATGCATGCAGTTCACGTTACGCATGCATGGTTTTTCCCAAAGACGTTTAAATATAATTACTAGACGGAAAGCAGCACGCGCGGAAACCATGCAGACGAATGTGATTAGGCTCCGCCTCTTTTGGATCATTTGAAGACAAAATAAGCACCCGAGGCGGCTTTTTGATTGGATATGAGCCTCATGAATATGTATTTTATCGATAGTATCGATAAGAAACCGGATAATATATTTGACCTCATTGCGTCACTTTAATTATGCAGATTTATGCACGACGCAGGCTACTCGCACAAACTGAGAAGATTTAGTTCATTGAGAATGGGTGAGTAATTGATTGAAATATGAGTAGATTAAGTGAATTTAGTCATCAATTTTGAAAAAGCTGCAATAGTCTTTGTGATCTACGGTAATTTCGTTACATTGTGAGACCGTTCTCAACAGATTTTTTTGGGAAAAGACTAGGAAATTATTGCTCTTGAAATTGAACTTTGATTTTCATCGTCATGAAGTAGTTTGACTGCGGTTTGCCGTCATTTCACCCTAGTACTCCAGTTAGGGGCCCGGCCGTTCCGCCTGGCCCACCCCGGCGAATTTCGGTGCTCATCTGCATCAAGATCAAACTTTCTAATCAAGTTTTATTTGAGATTTGATCGTCATCATGAATCTAATTCACCAATCATCGATTTAATTTAAATATAGATTTAACGTTACACCTTACAATAATCTCTGAAGCATGATTTTTTTGATAATCCAAGTGGATTAATTCTTGTTAAAATCTTTAGTAGATGTTGACTCTGATGGCTTTACATATCAGTGCCATCCGTTCGCTCAGTTGCATCCGTGTCAACTTTATATAGACCAAAATTATCTGTGACCATTGATAATCAAACAACTCCAAATCCTATTTCATTTAGATGTAAACCTGGAACTTATTAATAAAAAGTATTCAAAAAACATCAACACTAGGATTTCTTTATTTAATAATTAGATTTTGTGTGGGTCCAGCATGCTTGTCAAGTTATCATTAGAGTCTAGACCTTGACCTTACTCTAACTTAGATCTAGACCCCTATCAGTGGCGTACGCAGGATTTTTTCAAGGGGGGGGGGGGGGGGGGGGGTTAACATTTTGAAATCGGACCAAAAATTTCGCAACGACTCAGCCAGCCACTGAATAAGCATTGGGGGGGGGGGGGGGTTTAGGTCATCCATTTGGATTTTTTTTTGTATTAAAAAAAAACAACAACAACAACAACAACACTAAAAAGGGGGGGGGGGTTTCCAGAAAAACATACACATGAAAAAAAATGAAGGTAGGGGGGTTTACCCCCCCCCCCCTGCGTACGCTTCTGACTCCTGTTATTACTTTTAATATATTATTAGAGATTTTTTTCTTTGAATTGTGCAGTTCATGTTGATAAATCTATTTGTGTAAGAGAAGACCCCTTGTCCACAATTATGTTTACTTATGAAGTCCACTTCTTCTTGTCTTAATAAACCAATTCTACTTAAGACTACTTTATATTTATAGGCCATATGAAGCACTTTTTGAGGCACAAGTTAAATCTTCCATTTGATTTTACTTTGTACTGTGGTCCATTAAATTGGAATGTTGATTTCCACACTATATTAAAATTAAGGCCAACCATGACATGAAAAATAGCTTTTATGCTAGATCTATTTTTATTTTGTTAAGGAGAAAGGGACGCCTTGATTGTCGTATTGATTTTGTTTTCTTTTTGTTCCAACAGATGGAAACTGATGAAGAGCTGGAAGGAGCTAACTGATGAGTAGACATTACAACATTTCTTATATTTTCAAGATGAAGTTGAAAGTCCCATGCAGGTACAATTTTCAGGTTATTTAGCACACAAATATTAAACGACCACCTATTAATTCACTAAAAAGGAAATGGAACTAAGTGTATGTTTCAGGTGTATAGTGGAGGGAATATTTTATTCTAGTTCTTCCCTTTCTTTGTTTACAAAGGGGTTTGTCCTTATTTACAGGAGGTCCTGTGTGTAGAAGAACGATGTCTAATGCACATTCAAAGCACTACATAATAATGATAATGATCATACATGTAGGGTATACACAGGACCACTCATTACTTTTTTTTTGTAAGTGGTCCTTTCACTTCTTGAGCAATGAAGATGAAGAAGAACACAACATAAGATTAACGAAAGTCTGTTTATACGATGAATTATGGTTGATATGTATCTATTATTATCACTTTTTAATTGAAGTACCTACATTGCTTTCTCTTATGTAGGATGATGCTTCTCTACAGTGGATGATGAAAGCATGCTGATTACAAACCCAGGAGAGGAATAAAGAACAGATATTGACAGAATCATATCTAGAGATGTGGGCCTACTGCACTTCATACAAGCAAGTGTGCTAATATACCATGTAGGTACCCCCAATAAACTATTGTAGGACACATTTATCATGCAGAAAGTTATAGATCTGACAATTATATTTTTCATTGTCCATTGACTTGTAAAAGAATACTTGACTGAATATCACAATTGTGATTTAGATTAAAACTAAAATGTCAATATACATGAAATATAAGTCTACATAACGTATGTTTCCGACAATAGCATTATTTCCTGTACATTCTCTGTTCCAAGTTGTTTGGTCATTTTATGTAAACCGAGTATTATTCATTTATGACCACAAGTTTACATTACAAGTACATTGTACATGTACCAGTATTACTTATTTCATACTTGTCTGATCCAAGCTCCATCAGGCCTATTGTCTTAATGGGATCATCAGAAATAATCTAACATGTGGTCAGTAACTAGTTTTGTAGGAAAAAAAGTTTAGGTTTTCCCACTAGAACCCCAAGTGAATATTAGTCCTTCCTCTTTTTGTCAGAGCAGGTATCAGGGTGTATGTTATTAGTTGTTGTTTATTTTCTTATACACTGTATCTTATTTCATTTTTCCATTCAACAGACTTGGGTTATCATCACAGCCCTTTCTTCTGAAAACTAGCCTACAACTTCATCGATGAATGCAGAAGACATCTACATGGGACTACGTCTTAAAGATGCCCCCTCATATAATGAAAGAGGACAGTAGAGATGGGTTTAAACTTGAATATTTACATACTATTTATTTATTATTTGTATTATATGTTTGTAGAATACCACATTTAAAAAAAGCTAATGAATTTATCATCTTGTCAACTTTCAAATAAGTAAAGATAACTAATCATCAATGAATAAACATTAATGACATTTTAACAATGTCAACTACCATCTTATAGGATGAAACTGAGTGCTGGGCAGAAAGAAATTTCCTTGAAATTTGAGTGATAAAGATTTATCAGTCTATATCAAAGATTGAATCAATCAATGATATTTATAATTATAATTATACATGTTGAAATTCATTTACCTCAGTCTATGGACTTGCTGCTTCAAGTATTGTATGTAAGAAGGTTTGAAAGACAACCCTCTAAATGCACTAAATATGGAAACTGCTAATCATCATTGCCTGTTGTATCCAAACTGCTAATTTTAATAGAATCATGTTTTGATACTTCCTAGCTTAAGAAAACAGGGGGGGGGGGCTTGTTCTCTTCCTGGTGCTGTTTCTAAATGGACCATGTAACAGGTTGCAAAAGTGTAAACAATATTATATTTGTTATATGTTTATATTAGAAGGATTTAGAAAATGAAAACGTTTTGAATTATAGAATTACTGTTGCTAGAAGTAATGGCAGTATTGATGTGTAAGGGAAGGGTGGTTTTCCCAGTGAAATTAACGGTATACCAATGTCAAATTGATAAAAAAGAGAAAACTATTCCTAAAAATAAAATTATAAAGGACATGGGCCTCCCAACTAACTAACTAACCCTGGTACCACTCCTGGTTTTTTTTTTTTTTTTTTTTTTTGAGGGGGGGGGGGGGCGCCCCAATTCAAAATTTCCAGAGTTAAATTCCATTGTCTTTAAACAAAAATATGTCAAGATATTGAAAAACAATGTTTCACTTTCCGTTTTCAATTCGAATAAAATGATTAACATATTTTCCGATCTCTCTGGTCTCTACATTAAAAATGTTCAAAGCTCCTGCAAAGGCTGCAAAAAGGAAAAGTGAAGATAATCCAAGTGAAATGTGGACAGTAATGGAGTGAATATGGATCAATGGTTGATCGTAGTTGATAACGAGTATGTAAATGAATGGTATTACGACTGAAAGTGAGACAGAAAGGAACTGCAACAGATTGTTCAGTCAAGACAACAAACCGTTAGTTGCAGAAGATAATTTACGAAAGACAGAGAAAGAGAGAGAAGGGGAATCATAAAGGTACGATGAGAGTGGGTGGAGAAAAACCATCCTCTTTGCCACATAATTTGTATAAAATAAGGACACTTTATACATTAGCATATTTAACATGTATAATCATAGCCAGAGAATGTGTTGTTATATGGCTTATAGCATGTTTGAGTTAATAAAACAAAAACAGACCCAGTTATTGATAGACTAAAAAGGGAATAAGATCGGATCAGTATTTCTTATTCAATGAGTTAAGGCCACTCCCCATATTAAAAAACAACAACAACAACACAACAACGCGAGGTCCACTTCCCGATGCATTCTGGGTACACCAGCTGTTATACTAGTGATCGATAATACAAGTTCGAGCGCGTATTTCACCTAACGGTGATCGCATCAGAATAATCTACGCTGATTCGCTGAATCACTTGCGTTGCTAGCGCGCAGCGTGATGAATAAATTACCCATAATTCCGTACAGTAGATTATTTGACCTCTCTAATTACGCTGATACGTGTATTGTCTTTTACCATGTAGTGAACATCATTCCAGTCCACGTTTCGTGGGGAGCATCCTTCAGAATGCATAATTCATAGGGCTCATGAATTATGCAAGGAGGCTTATTTTGGCTTCTAATGGATCCGGACAAAATGGCGGAGCTTGGGGGGCCTGGTTTTTCCCCTTCATTTAGTCGAAAGGCGCATGCGCGGTAGCAAAAGCATTAATATTCATGAGCTATCGAATAGTCCGGGGCTAAGGCGAACGTAGTGTGAATCGCGTGAAATTTCTTAACCCCGGCTAAGCACATAGTCCGGGGTTAAGAAAATAGATGTGAACAGCACAAAAAATAGTATGGGGTTAAGGATAGTATGGGGTTAAGGATAGTCCGGGGTTAAGAAAATAGATGTGAAAAGGGTACAAGATACCTTCACACGTACATACGCAAGTAAACATAGTTTGGTCTTAACTTATTCAAAGTCTACCCATGCTAATAATTAAGTTAAATTCACATATCATCTTCCTGACAACCATCAATTTTAAACTACTTTATCTTTTCACAAAGAAAAAGTCTTCAAAAGACCGTCTTAACTATCAATCAAACTTTCAACGAATCCATGTTCGCGATTCGTTTCACGTCACTACACACATTCATATAGGCTATCGCTTCCATCGTGCGACTGTAATCTCTACAACTTGCAACTACTTTCAGTGGCATTTTACAGCACTGTACTTTAAGAAATATAACTCAATGAATAAACATACCTTAAGGATTATCTAAAGAGTTCCCATCTCAACATAGAAATGCTGGAACTGCAAGCAAACTGCTAAACTGTTAGCGACTGTCGTCGCTGTTGGCGAACTGCCATTACGTAGATAACAACTCTCGTCTTCTCCTTCTTCTCCGAACTATTTCTTCTAGTCTTGTCACAAGTCTTAAACATAACTTTCAGAACAAGAAAGAGTCATTCCATGACACAAATGTTTTCATATAAAGAAATAATCTACCTACCCTATAGTCTATCTCCAAGAATCAACTGTTATTCATATGCCCTAGCATGAAGCTGTCAATTCAGTGCACACTCAGAAAAGATCCTGGCATCGTGGCTGCTACCAGTCCAGGCCACCTTGCAACGATACTAGTTATTTTCCCAGCATAATCACAGACAACCTGTCAATATGAAATAACATGTTGGCATTCATTAGTTATGAAAACTCACTCATTTCACACTTCAGATAGGCCGTGAAATGTATAAATTTCACTTGTTATTTATGGTAATTAATGCAAATGCAGTTGAATATGTGATAATTGCTTTTCAATATCTATTTATACAACAAAAATTGGAAGAAAATGCTAATTACCCTATATTTATTGACTGATGAAGTATTTTTTCATTTTTAACTCATGTTTTCATTGTTTATCTTGTAACAATGTAAACAAAAATAATCTCACTTTTAACAAAACATTTCGAGCCTAAAACAACAACAAATGCTTTGTGTGTGGGGGGGGGGGGGGAGGGGGTACCCACTCTCTCATCTTTTTATGGTAAATGAACCTGTTTGTTTTTCTATAGTTTAAAATATATAGTGGTAATTGCCATTGATCAATTTACATGCTTCTCTTTGTTGTTTTTTCTTTCATTGATCAATGGAAAAAACGGTGGCCCAATTGCCTTGGCCATCAAAAAAATATCAGAAATCTAGAGGTCATATCTGTATTGCCAATAGAAGGATGGAACAAGTTTTGATTTTTCAAATTTCCCTTTCGTTAAAAAGATATTAACGAGTGTTAGGATTTTTAAGTTTAACTATCCATTGGATATTCTTAACTGTGTACAAAGGCAGTGAAATGAGTACCTGTACACGAATATTACTTTAATATCCATTTGGCTACTAGAAATCTTGCATTGGTCACCAATGAATTAGCATGGATGTACAACACACAAGACTGGAGAGTGTATATATCTAATGTGAAAATTTTGCAAGGTACAAAAAAAAGGTCTAAAGGGAAAGCCGTGCAGGATCCAGTCATGATGTATTCATTTATTCTCACATCTGAACATCGATGGAGTACCTGTTCCAGGCGCGGATCTACGGGGGGGGGTTTAGGGGGTTTAAACCCCCCCCCCCCCTTGGGCGGGCCAAAAAAAAAAAAAAAAAAGGAAAAAAAAAGAAAAAAAAAGAAAAAAAGAACGCACGCTGGAGAGAAACCCTTTCAAGTGCAAATATTGTGAGAAGATATTCAACTCATCTGGTAACCTAACCAAACACATGATAACTCTGGATATAACTGTGTATTTAACTGTTACTTGATTTAAAAAGACGTTATCATGCACTGCTTTTTATGGTCTCCATTGTGTTAATAGATGCCAGGAAAACATCACTTACGGGGTTCAAATAAACACCCCAAAAAAAATCGGCTCGCCGCTTCGCGGCTCGTGGACGATGCTCTGCATCGTCATTATTTTGGTCAAACCCCCCCCCCCCTTAGCAAAAAGCTAGATCCGCCCCTGTGTTCTTCCTATTGAAGTAGTACCTGGCTCTTGCCCCACCAGGGCTCCTGATGTAAACATGTGTCCCATCAACAGCAACTCCTGGAAATCTGCAGTACTGGAAAAACTGCTTCTGAATAGTAGTCACTTTTTGCCTTGTTGTAACTTGTAGGAAACTTCATGACTTGTCCCTTTCTTCTGACAACAGGTTCGGAAACATCCCTCACTCACTACTCTCCATTCGGCAAACAGATGAATGTGACACGGCATGCCGCCTCCTCACCGTGCATCCTTTAGATCGAATTACCTTTTTAAAAAAATTAAAAAAACAAGCATTCAAATAAATCATTTTTTTGCTGGTTTACATGTAGGTCTATGCTATTATATTTTTGCATCCCCAACTGTCACTGTCACTTTAAAAAAAAAATTATACTGATTTCCAGATGTGGTGTGAATCAATTTAACGTAAAAGACAAAATTGTCTATGCCTTTTCTAATCTCCTTCACGGCTTCACCTTTTGTGAAATTTAAGCAACAAATCACAAACTTGTTTCAAGCACATAATCTATTAGTAGATTATTGGGAAATGCCCCCACACACAAATTATGAAAATTAAGGCTTTCATCACCTACCATGTAAAAGAATAAATATCATAACTAATCTTTCAATGTATGGAATATGACAGAAAATGCTTTAAAAATTGAATAAATTTATGTAAACGCACATGTGCATGGCATTAGGGGCTTGCACGGTCGTAGGCAGACCAGCGGAGCGGGGCAAACGAACAGTGAATTTAGGCGGTCAACATGAATTGAAATATTTCTGGATTTTAATAACGACACTAGGGTAGGATTTTACAACAGAAGCCCTTTTTTATAGCTATGTTAACAATATTCATCAAGTAGTTTGGCCATGTTTTCGCCAACTTTCCCAATACAGAATTTGAATTCAAAGTACCTCAATCTAAAACAAAAGGCTCATCATCCAGCGGGTTTTCCCAATCTCAGAGGCCTCTGCCCGGTTGTGCTGCTATATATTGCTCCAGCTCCTCCTCCAGGTACACCAGCTCATTATGCTGAATCAGCTGCATTTCTACCATCTTTACTGGAGTGAAGATAAAATGAAACAAATGTTCAAACAATGTTTTAAAAATAAAGAAATGTTACTTGTGCTTGTGACTTTGTGGGTGATCCTGGCTCTGGAGACTAAACCAGTTAATTAAGACAATTAGAACCAGATCTAAATTTAATAAAAGCTTTGCTTGTCATCATCATGACTCATAAACAGAAATAACGTCTGATATGGATCATGGGTCATTTCTTTGATAAAAATAATAAAACTGACATTTGTTGACATTCTAATTTCTATAATCGGAGGTCTAGTGGAGCCAGACGTAGTCTCAGTGAACAACCAGCAATATAGAGAGACTGAAACTTTTGGTCTATGCTTGTCAGTGTGATCCATTTTGGGGAACATTGGCATTGCATTGCTGATGCCACTTCAATTTCTATTTATTTGGGTACCAGGCCAGTCAGTGTCCAAGTCAAGTGATGGACATCATTGCCAGGCCTAGGCTAGAGCCTGGTATTATTATCATTATCATGAATTTGTAATAACTAGTGTAGGTCTAGGCCTAGTCTAATTGGCATGTGTCATGGCATTGCTGACAACAAGACAAAATTAAACATGACAGTCATACTCAGATATCTACTGTAGGCCCGGCCCGGCTAGGCCCAACTCCAGCCCAGGGTCAGAGGGTGCGAGCTCCGCCGCACAGTGGGCCAGGGAGGAACCAAAGTGCGCCAAAACTCATGTTTGGGGATTTTTTTTTATAAATCCAGAGGAAATGATTGGATTTCCAGGGATTTTCGCTAAAATGTTATTACCAACATTTTCTCTGATGTCTTAGCTTTAAGTTGATACCAGATTTGGCTGCCCGATTCTGCCCGTTATTATGTTAGAGCCGTTTTCCTTGCAACATTGCCCCGAAAATGTGTTTATTTTGGTCCGCGGTGTCAGAAAAAGTGTCACGCGCCCCCTCGCGCCGTGATTTATGACCACGAATCCTTCATGATTCAGCCGCGGACCCCCAAAACCCACATTTTTCGGGGCAATGTGACAAGGGAAATCGGCACTAACATAACAACGGGCAAGATCGGGCAGCCAAATTTGGTATCAACTTAAAGCTTAGACATCATAGGAAATGGTGATATTAAAATTTAAGCGGTACACTGCGGAGATCTAAACATTTCTTCTGGATTTATAAAAAACATGGATAATTAGTCCATTTTTCAGTGAATTACCCTATAATATATCATGAAGATTGTGTTTCTATTAATTTTAACGCATTCATTGAACGAAATGAACTATCAGAAATATTTGAGAGCAATTTCATATCAATAACTTAAAAACTTCATGTTGAATTGAAAGATTTATAAAATAAGTCACTTTTGCACTAAAACTGTGAATATGTAGGATGTTGCTGTTTGAAGTAGTAAATTAATACCCTTATTGTGCATACCGGAATTAAATATTTCACTGAGGTATTCCTCTATGTATTACCTTTCAACTGGGCAAGAAAAAAATTGGAAAAAAAAAATCACCCAAACTTAGTTTTGGCGCACTTTGGTTCCTCCCTGGCCCACTGTGCGCCGCCGCCTTGGGCGTTGGACTCGAGCTCCCTCAGACTCAGTCCCTGAACTCTGGAATTGAGAGGCCGTCGGATATGAAAACACCGAACATTTCATGGAAAATGGAAAGTTATAAAGCATATCAAATAGTGAAATGTCAATAACGTGAAGAGTATGAATTCGACTACATGTACAGGTTTTATACTTACGATTTTAAGGAAAGGATCGAGAGATTGAGAGATTTCAATTGCACTAAAATCGGGCTGACCAGGTACTATCGCAGATTGTTTTGGCGGTGAATTATTTGGATAAAATCAATCGCGTCGAGCATAAATTATCTCCAGGAAGAGTTACCATAGTAAAATCTTTATTTATACCCAAATTGAACTACCTATTTTTATCTCTTCCTGAACCAAAATTAGAAATTATGAAGGATATCGATCGACGTTTTTTTGAATTTATATGGCATGGCAAACGTGATAAAATAAGTAGGAAACAAATGGGTCAATTGTACAATGAAGGCGGAGTTAAAGTGACTGACCTTTGTATGCATTGTAAATCACTTAAGATATCATGGATAAGAAGATTTATTTGTTCTGAAAGTTTCTCTCTTCATATGTTCCAATCATTCTTACCTCCACCGTATACATCTCTTCAGTTATTCATGGGGGCTGAATATTACAAAGAATTAGCCACTACAATACGAAACCCATTTTGGGAAGAAGTATTATCAGCCTTTTCAGACCTTACTCAATTCACTATAAATGATATTGCATGTCAACCCCTTTGGAATAACCCTAAAATAAAAGTTAATGATAACGTAATTTATTATAAGTCTTGGTGCGCTAAGGGGGTACGTTTTGTTAACGATGTTTTAAAAACAGATGGATCATTTCTCTCATACTTTGATTTTCAACATAAATACAATGTACATGTAAACTTTCTTCAATATTATGGCTTTTGTAATGCTATTCGATTTGGTTTTAATAAAAATGTCATACCAAAGGTCATTGAACCTACATGTATTATCCCGGAAGCATTGTTATTAATAATAATAATAAAAGTGAAAGGTTGTGCACATATATACCGTTCTTTATTGAAACATAATATAAAGGAATGTAAAAGTCTTACTAAGTGGAAACAGGAGTTTGACCTTGACAATATTGTATGGAGTTCGTATTATTTTCTTCCCTTTAATTCAAGTACTG